GACCGCTTCACTTGATGGCCAGAAGCCATCCTTCTACTGGACTGTAAAGTCGAAACTGTCATCCGTGTCTTGAACAATGAACAATGTATTTATACGGGTTAAGAAGCTTTGCTTTACAAGTCCCATTGGATAGTTGGTGGGGATATCAAAATAACTATAATGTTGATAAGGATAGTAAAACAGTTAATACTTTAAATCTGAAAATACGGACTTATCGTTTGCTTCGCTGCAGTCCTGCGATCCTCTTAGATTCACAGCACCCACAGTTAACAACAAATAATTCCATGGTAAACTCCAGGTGTAGGATGGAGACGTAGTGTTAAGTAACAAAGTGTAAGTGGATGAGTGCATCGTCCAACCGTCTTTTAAATATTGTTAGTGTCGGTGCAGAGACGACCGATTCTGGGAGAGCATTCCACGGGTGACAGACACGAATGGAAAAGAAATTTCTGCGGCACTCCAGACGACTGTATTGTTCTGTGAGTTTTAATGAGTGGCCCCTCAGGTTTGTATTGCTGCTGAGTTGCAGTAAAGGGCGGCACACATGATGTGGATCTCGCAGAATCAAGTATGCCATAATAAGGTTGGGTGTTACATTACAGATACCCATCCACCGGAACAACCGACCGGGAAATGCTCCCCGAATCTTCGCCATTTGATACATGCGGCAACTTCTCAGGCTGCCGTCGTATTCACACGACGGCATATAACCCGGCAGCAGATGACTAGCCGAACACTTTCATCGGGAGCTCAAGTCATCTCTCTGTGCCACTTCCGACCCCGACTGGAGTGAAAAGATTTCGCTAGTAGTTCTAGGTACTCGCAGCAGTAACAAAGCTGAGTTCAGTGCGCACTAGCAGAGCTGGCCTTGGGCACAACACTTAAGCTGCCGGGAGAGTTCATCTTACCACTCGCCATCGCATATTCCATCGTCAAACTTCATGGCCTCCCTTGCTCAGCTTTGCGTTCGCTGTGCTCGAGCCCGCCTCATGAGCAGACCAGAGATGTGCAGATTCATAGTGTCGTCTCTATCTCAACTTTGCGATCACACATACACAGTGCGTCGTCCCATTTAACTCCCTTACATTGGTTTCTTCAGAGATCTCCAACGAACTCCTAAGCATTTTACCTTAGACCAGAATGGTCACATAACAACGGTCTTCGTCGACCGTCTTATGGTTGCATTCTCCGAAGTTCCGCCTTCAACCTCACTTGGTGCAGCCGCAAAAGTAAACGCACCCGCAGCTCCATCTCTCTCACAAGGCACCCTATATCCTTTAGATAGTGTTGACCTTCCGCCAGTCCAGCTCCAACCCTAGGCAGCTGACCGAGGTGGTACATTGGTCAAACGACCAGACCGATTTTCCGATTTTGTTAAGGCTTGCAATATTCCTTGGCATGCATATGTTCCACCTCGTATGTTCATACTGTGTTTTATTCACAAACGTTTTGCAAAACAGCAAAAAAGGTAACTTTTACAAACTCCAAAAACTACGGTGATAGACAAGGTTTCGCTTTTGACACAAAAGATTCATCAGGCTTGATGATGACGTGGTCGGCCACGTTCCACCCCTCCCGCGTTTCACATTCCGGAACTCAAGTTTCCTGAAATCCGCGGTATCGCCTGTCCCGCCTGTCCGAAGCCTCAAGCCCCATCACGTTGGATTCAAGTGACCGCTACTACCCATCCTACCGGTGCCGACAACGGCTAGTCCGGCCCCCGAGCTCTGGGAAGCGGTTACACAAAGCCGACATCTGGGATGCTTTTTTACACGAGAATCGTCATCGCTGTAGACTGCGGTGCGGTGAGTGGTGTGATAAATTTTTCAACCGCACCGTCGTGCCTTCAGTGGAGGATATCTCCTGCTGGACATAATTATGGACTAGCATATTTTGCAGTCCGACATACCCACCCCGACGGTCCACGGTCGATGTAATGCAGTCCACAGCCAACTAATTAATAACAAAGAGACCTGAACCAAACGAATTACACACGCCCTCTTTCTGTCCGCCGCGCCCACTAAAACTGCTACCTTTCCCTACCTGACACCTTCAATGAAGGCTTACCTCATTCAGAATACCATGGGGATACCCCTGTAGCGAATATGAAACATTGGATTTCCTCCTTGTTTATATCTTCTGAGCGTCCATTTGTTTAGATAATGGTACGTCTCGGTCACTTACTGTCCTCGTGCGTCACACTGCACACTACTGTCAGTCTTCGCTTACCTGTCCTCCATTCTTTGTAGCTTTTGTTATACACCTTGGGTCCAGCCGATCTAACCGTTCTCGGTACTTCCGTACTCGGCACACCTCTTATGTGCCACCTATTGCTACTGGTATCTGAGTAGCACCCCATACATCTTGCTTACAGTTTATTTTAAAGGGGATATTGCATTTGAGCTGTTCAGGAGAAAGCTTGCAACTGCAATCCCTCAGGCATTGCCAGTAGCCAACCGTAAACTGCTTGCCGAAATTACACCGTTGATTCCTAAGCACGATGAAATCACCAAGCTTCACGGTCTCTCTCTCCAGACTAGCACGCACTCTCGTCATGAAGTATTGCGAGTCGCATTATGTTCGCTTCCAGGCAGAATACGTCGGCGATCATCCAAAAGTTTGATAGACTGTATAGAGAACGAAGGTCCAGTTTGGCGATATGAATGGCCACATGAAGACATGCCTGCTGATAATAACGTCTAGCGAATATGAGACCAGTGATCTTCAGCCGCGTTCAGTGGGCACTTACTCAGCCCGGATGCCAGCGTACTTTAATACGCACTCAGAACACATGGCTTTACCCGTTGGCTGGTGTTTATGCGCTCAGACCGCCTTTGCGGACATCGGCAGAAACGCAAAAGAAGGTCGACACACACGAGAGCGAGAGGGCAGTCCATAATCGGGCTTCTACTCGAGTGACAGTTTTGGACACAGCCCCTCCAGCGGTAACTGATATCGCAGAGATCGATTTGCGTCCATGGCTGGTCCGAGGCTGGTGGGCGGTCAATCTTTTGCGAGTGCTGTCTCTAAAATAAGTGCTTGCGTAAAAGAGACGAGCATCCTCACACAGGTGTGGCAAGCGCACACCATCCTCATTACCGGAGCCTATACCTTATTGGCCGCCCAGATGAAACTCATCAGTGGACAATTTCCTAACTTGGGCGTTCAGATAGTCAGTCAGGTTCACTGTATCCGCACTTTTCTGTGACGAAGCAGCTGGTTCAAATGGTGGTATAATTCGTGTTTCACCGAATCAGTACTACACTTGGTGGGCTCGCAAAACGCAATAATAAACAGGCACAATTTGTCTACGCGCGACTTAGAAGCTTGTTACGAGTCAGCGAATCTAACGGCGCACATCCGGCTGTTGACTGAAATCCGATTGATCAGTGCAGCTTCAACCCGGCTACTCGAAACAATGCCGACGCCAGCTTGACCGGAATTTGAAGCTGCGTCATCTCCAGACAGGCGCAATGAGAGTGTGTCGCCAGCATAGCACACTGGGGATCGCAGCGTAATCAGAAAATTCGGATTTCAGATAAGCAGCAGATATCGAATGGCAGGGTTTCCAGTGTTTGTGCTGCATGTCGGCCAGTCTACAACACAGCGTGCACGTTGAGACATATCAGTTTTAGCGAGGATCGGGGCTCCAAAAGTAAACGGATGAACTGGCGGCCACTCGGTTGTCGACTGGAATGGAGTGGCGCCCTGCGATTGCGAGTGAGTTGAAACTGGAAGACAAGCGACTATTGAAGCAGATCGGGGGAGGGCTAAGAATTGTGGGCTTGAAAACAGGGGAGATAAAAGTGAAGTTGGAGCGGGACAATAAGAAGGAAAAGCGCAAGAGAGGGAATACTAAGTCGGCAAGTATTAAGCAGTAGCATCCTTACCCTACATAACTGAGGTCGGCCCTTTCTGCATGCCTCTGTGTTAGTACTGTGGTAAGTCTACTAAAACGATTTTCAATTTATCACTGTTTTCTATTCACCACGTTGTGCTTCTCCTTCTGGCCATCCTAGGAGAACTGCTAAGCATCTGCATTTTTACCCGTAATATATCATTGTACCATTGTACAATTGTCCACACTGCTCGATGCAGCAGATAGGGCTCCATTTATTACACTTTGCGACGGCCACAGCACCAAGAACTCATGTTTAGAGCAGTTCATAGCGTTGTATCGCACGGGCAGGATACCGTCAGTTTGTCCAGGCCCAGGCAGGTGAATGATTGGGGGTTCTCAACCAAAGCCTTTGGTTAGCACACCTGGCCGCAAGACAGTGGGGTTTTCGGAGCTGGGCCACAGAGTCCGGTTTATAGAATAAGAAGCCAACCTCACTGCAACCCCCAAACTGGAGGTCTAGGAGAATGAGTTTATCTGGCCTCCAATCACTGCCAAATTTGGTGTGAGTGACTCTGAAGATGTACAAAGCACCATCCAGCATAGTTAATGAATTATTGAGGCACACAACCAATCGCACCACGTGAAGGTCCAGTCTCGTCGCGAAGAAGACAGCTGTGTGTTTGTCCTTTAATTTACACTAGAGCTTCACGTGCATACCTACTTACGCCAATTTTCATAGTCGCGACACACGCGCTAGCACGTGCACGCCGTCAGACTTAAGAATGGCTGTCTATTCAATGACCTGTTGCACCAAACGCACAAAGTAAAGCCCAGCCTCAATTTTACCTCAATACAAAAAAAACAGAAAACTTTTTCAGCAGCTCCCCATCGACCCGAAATTGATCACACCACAACAAGCTTTCTCGTATGCAACATCAGTTGACAATAGAGATGTTAATGTAAAGAAATTACAGTTCGAAGCGAAAACTGTACTCAATAATCGATGGTGTTGGATTGCGCTTTTCCTGGGACTGTCCGGCTAGTTTACTAAGCGCACAAAAGCCTGAACCTTCTTGGATTGCATAAGTAGGTAGGACTTAGATTAAACGTCCATCACAGACTGTGAGCTTGGAGTTGGGCAATCTGCACCCAAACATATGAATTAACAGGTGTTTACTCACCTATGGAAAATCAAAATGCATACCTGCGTCACATACAGATTGGTGTGGGAAAAAGGTTATGTTTACAAAGCAATTCGTGGAAATTCAGAACAGTGAGACATTACCACAGAAAAGTGTTCGGTGTTGCCAAGAAAAGGTGCTATTTCAGTTGGCTGCTGATCAGGACCAGGAAGAGAGTAGACGGTGAACTACCACGGCGCTTAGAAATAGCGGCAATTAGAGGAGTTGCCCTAATAAGTTCACCAACCACTTTCAAAAGGGGACCGTAACGTATTGGAAAATTTAGCAGTAGCTAGATTAGTAAGTAAAGGAGGATAAGGGTACTCAGGTATGTGAAACTGGATGCGTAGCGTGGTAGCAATAGGTGTTCGAAGGCTTTGCTGGTGCTGTGCTCAATAAGCCGTTTGATGCTCCTTTTAACGCGCATCAGCTGGGGATGGCCGAACCCAAATATAAACCGCAATCGGTTGGAAAGGGATGAAATAGTCTACCAGCAGGTGTTAAGAAATCAGTTCTAAAATAAATGTATTGTCTGCGGGTTCACGTTAAGATACCCTTCCATTTGCTTCCATTGCCGGGTGTAGTTCGGAAGAAAGCTTCAAATCGATTTGTTCCATTTCATGAATCAGCTGCAAAAGGAAAAACGATTTGGCTTTTCACAAACAGAGGCAAAAAATACGAAGAGCAAATCTATATTGTCTGCATCTAATGAAAGGGACAGCAAAACTGTTAGCTGTCAAGAACATTTATGTGAGGCCATCGCCAGAGTGCTAATTCATACATGTGCCGGGAAGTATGCTTTCGCGATTAGAGAAAGATTGGAAAGAAGGAAGAACTACAAGATCACTTACCGAAAAATGATCTGCTCCATCGTCATCATCATCATTATCATCGTCATCCTCATCATTATCATCATCCTCCTCATCCTCCTCATCATCAGCATCATCCTCGTCCTCCTCCTCCTCATCCTCCTCCTCCTCATCATCATCCTCATCATTATCCTCATCATCAGCATCATCCTTATCCTCACCCTCCTCCTCATCAACATCCTCAATATACACGCTAGCTGCAGATAGCAAACACCTCAGCTATTGTGCCGCAATACAACGGACAAGAAGAAAAAGTACACTGCTACGCCGGCTGAGGCCCCAGTAACGGATGAACCTCGTTCCGGAGCGGTAACAGCCGGCTATCGTGCCGAAAAAAGTTGTGTTATACCTAACGAATGCGATCGTGATTGGAGCGGGAGATTAAGCAGGACGGGGTGGAGAAAATTACTCACAACGCGAACGCCACTGGGGCCGGATCCTAGCCATATCAGCAGATGTGTCCAACCAAAAGTAATCATCGTCCTTAGGACCCAAGCCAGGCAGTCGGCATGCACCAACCGACGCCAACTTCGAAGTGAGGGTTTTCATCTCTCTCGACCAAATCCTCTTTTGGCCTCCCCTCCTTCTCTCGCATCCAGACCCAGGGCGCGCAAACAATGCATGTCGCGGAAGCCGGTCTGCTGGCATGCGCAACAACTGCCCCAGTCATCGGAGCCCGTTGCATGATATAACGGTGCCGTGCGGTTCACTCGCTCTTCTGCACCAAATACACGACGCCCAACCCATTCAGTACTCACGCGGTATCCCACCAGACATGAGCTAAGCTTCAAAGACAGCGATGGTCGAACGTATCATCACTATGTCTGTCGACCTGATGGGCCACGTTTCACAACAGTATTGGAGGGTTGAACGGACAATTGCATTGTAAACTCTGCCCCCCAGGGCGAGAGGTATGTCACGCCTGCACCACAGGTGAGGGAGGTTGACAAAAGCACTTCAAGCTTTTGCTATATGGTTGGTGATCTCATCTTCGATCTCGCGGGAGCTAATATAGCTGCCAAGATGCTGGGATTCCTGAACGACTTCTAGCTGATCACCACAAAGCGTTAGCGCAGGGGTGAGTCGCTGCCAAACTTGGAGAAGGACTTTGCATTTCGATGGAGCAAAGCAGAGCCCAAAACGATAGATAGCCAGTGCTAATCGGTCCAGTGCTGCTTGACACGTTTGGGCGTTGTCACAAATTAGGGCAATATCGTCCGCATACTCCAAGTCAAGAAATCACTCACCAAGAAGTAGCTTCACACCTTCTAGGTAGTGTACAGCGAACGCTGTTTCCATGCCTTTGTCAGTAATGAGGTTAAAGAGGAAATGTGACAATGTAAGTATATCTCACATCGCTGGAGATATTGAAGGATGTCTACAGTTTGCCATAAAACCCTCGCTCTGCCCGAACTATGCGCATAAAGCGCTTTGAGAATGTTTACATATTTATCATGCACACCTTTCCTGAGCAGACAGTCCCAACGGGCACAGTGATCCACTGAATCGAAGGCACCTTTGATTTTGAGAAACCCGACAACGGTGGGTCGCCAATAAACATGGCGGCGCTCCAACAACTTATTTATACTAACCATAGTTAACGCAGTAGCCTCTGTTGCAAAAGGTGCAAAGCGACAAAACTCTAATTCGGTTCCCCTTGGTGGCGAATGTTTGTTTTCTTATGGTTCCAAAAGCGGTTTCAGTATCTTCCCCTTTTCAACTAATCCTATACAATTCAACCATTGTTATGCTTGTGGCAGCAGACATTTCTCAACTACTGGTCCGCCATTAACACGTTAGAAATTGCGTGGCATCTTATGCCAAACGGTAAAACTCAAAGAACCAGTGCCTCAATGCGGGACACCCTTAGACAAGAAACGCCCAAAGCAATAGTGTTACTGAGCAAAAATTTCGGGAAACAAAAAGCAAGTGCTTTGTTAGATCACCGTGGTGGTTTCCTTGATTAAATAGAGTAAGCCGTCACCTCGTGGCCGTGATGTGTAAGGTACAAGAAATAATGCAACTACAAGAACCACCCACTAATACATAATAACAACATCAGCTTTTAAATTTTGAAGGTGCACTCAGGCAGACGATGTATAGCAGTTTGCCTGTTCTGGTTTTCGTTTGTTCTCCGAGCTAAGCAATTGTGCCGCAGACGTTTCATCACCAGCCGGGGTCACATTCACAGTGCCTCACTGCTTAGCGTACAGCTCTTTGAGTGCGTCGTCGGCTCTTGATGGATGGGCAAATGACATTGGGAATTGGCCTCCTCGCTTTATATTATGGGACCTTCGGTGGTTTGTTGCTAGGCTGCCGCTGCTTCTTGCCTTATGTTAGGATTTCTGACCCGTCCCATTTCTTTCTTTCTCAATGGTTTGTACTCAGGGTCTAGGTCTATGCACAGACCCAGGACGTGGACTGGCAAATAACCTGCCGTTTTATTTATCCCAAATCCTATCTTCGTCTACTTAGGTTACTGAAACACTTGACAAGGTTAGAAGATTATGTTTATGCGCTCAGGCTTAGCACGCTTTCCGCACCACTTGCTTTGATTTTGAAATTTGTTACCGCCTGCATTGTGCCTCACTGGCCTTAATGTTCGTCAGTAAGTTTTCCTAGGTTACTAAAGAAAGATTAAATACAGTTCTTACGTTCGTTAAAAGATATTGATAGATGCAGTGGACTGTCTAGAGATCTTATTGTTAACAAGCATGTAGACGCTCGTACTACCTTTTCCTACAAAGTTCTAAACGACCCTTTTCATCCCCTGCATAGAGCGCTGTCGTAAGCGCAATCTGTTTCTTCTGCGTGTTCAAAATTCAGACTTATTTTCTCGTACGGCTTCGCACCGTAATCCTATCCTACCGTACTTGTCACGATTACTTGTGAACTCAAAGAAACTCATCAGCATGATATGCAGTTGTTTGCTTGAGTGACACAAACATTCTGCACTTCACAATGTATTAATTTTTGTTCATTTAATCTCATTTGTTTCTCCATTTGCGGTGATACTGTAAAAAGCTACAAATGTATCTATGCAGATACATAAAGTCCATTTTGACCTGAATGGATCAGTCTACTTGCTTGCTTTTTCTAACACTCCTTAAATCTGAAGCCTACACGCATCCTAAAGTTGAACGATATAGTTTCATTCTTCGTAGTTAATTAGTAGTGGATCTACACTACACTCAGGAAGGAACCATGGCTGAATTTATACATCAATCGAGCCATACCACATAACTATAGCAAATAAACCTTTTGGAAAGCATTGGTAAATTGTTCAAGTTCAGTCCAGTAAGACAATAGGGATCTAGATACCAAGATCGGCAGAGGCGTTTGCACTGTTCACAGTGGCTATTAGACTAACAATTGGTAATAATGAGGCAAATATAATAAATACTCAAGAAACACAATGGAAACAATCGCACATAGACGTTTAGCATTTGTGGGAATTTTGAGGGATCAAACCGATGAAAGCTGAAGTGTCTGTTACCCGTTCTTGTCATCTTCACAGATTGTTTCAAGTAGCCGAGATCTTACTGGACCCGCATACACGGTCACACTCTTGAGAAGCTCTCTGTAAGCTTGTACACGCTCACCGACTGTTGACGCACGTGGATGTGTTCAATTGGAGTAGGTTCCTCCTTGAACACTTGTGAACGCATTCCAGGTCTCGTTTGGGAAAATTGTGAAAAGCACTAGTATTAAGCGCTCGCCATATCTTTGCGTCATCAGTGGTAAGCGAGCAATTTGTGGCCAAATCATTAATAGACATTACGAATAAGTACGGTCCCATTATCAAGCTCTGTGAACCACAGCATTCCACCTCAATCGGGTTGGAGAGAGATCCACCAACACGCATTTGAGGCCTCTGTTGGCAAATAAAACTTTAGGTTTTTCCACGAACAGGACCCCCGATTCCGCAGCTTAATAGCTTGTGAAACAGAATGTCGTGATCCAGGCGGTCGGAAGGTTTGGAAAAGTCCAGGTGGATGACATCGATTCCGGCCCCACAATCGGCCGCCTTTGTCCGACGATCGTATGCATGACTGATTCCCAACCTTCAACGGTACAGGAAGGAGAATTACTGGGTGAAGGTGTAAAATATCTGATCGGCTACAACCTTTAAAAATTGAAGGGATGTCAAGCTTCTACATAGTGGGGACTTGTTCATCAAAGCATCCTTAGAAGAATCGCGACTGGGTACAGCTGGCTTAGTGGCCGTAACCATCAGTGCCATCAGACCAATGTCATCGGCTTCCTGCGAGTTATGCTTGCGTAATGAGAGCAATAGTATTAGCCCCGTTGATGGTTTAGAGATTAGATGTGTAAACACTGGAGTCGTTAAACTGGATGGTGGTATGAAACATGGATAGGATGTGAGTTGGAAAATCGGGGCGTTTTGCGGCCGCCGAACATTGGCCGCACTTTCGGCTCTTTGTACCCTACCGTCTGTTGTGAAAAATGGGATTGCCATGCTTTATTTTGTCAAGGCTGGTGACTTGTCTGTGCAGTAGTTTGTTGTTTACCAGAAACATGTTTTGCTAACCGCTGTTGATAGGTAACTTGGTCCTCACGAACAGGTGTGATACAATTGTCGCGGTTGATCAGGAAATTACCCCATTTCTCTGGGCCGGGGTTAGTCTTGCACTCTTGCTATGCTGGAGAACATATTGCCACGCAATTTAGTCCTGTTTTTAATAATTGACGGCAATTTTGCGGAACGAAATGACTTGGTTTTCGATACATTGTTGAAAATGTCGCTGTCTTTCAACGAACTCTATCCACGCACTGTCAAGGAGATGGTTGTCCGAAAACTCCCAGGTGGATGCCGCAAGGAGTTATGTTGGCAAGTGGTAGCATGTGGCTGTGTGGATTAAATTCATATGTTTAGATGGACAGTCTGCATTGAAAACCGTTAACTTTTCTGACTGCTTGGTTGCTGGGATCTAATGGACACTATATCAGTAATGATGGACCAAGGGCTCTTCGTTTGTGAGCAGAAGTTCCGGCACAGGCGGTTTGTTTTCTACCTGGAGTCTTGTGGGAGAAATAAAATGCTTATATAAAGGAATACAAGCGATAAATTTATAAAATTCAGGTTTGCATCGTTCGTTGGGAGATGCTGACACCTCCAGATCAGATATGTACAAGTTTCAGACACTTGCGGTGGCTCTGACTCACTGCCTATTCCTTTTTGTGAAACATTACTTATCAGTTTGCTGCGTAGCACTGAACAATGAACAATCATTTATTACGGGTAAAAAAGCGATTGCTGTACAAGTCCCGTAGGCTGGTTGAAGTGAAATAAGCATAAGTGTCAATCGTCAGTTTAAGCGTCTGGCTATTCAGGTGCCCCTTATTCATATAAACATTTTAGAATGTGTACTGAATTGTTACTGTAGAGTAATATGGGAAGTAATATGGGGAAGGTATGTTTTAAGAACAAAAACGACAACACTTACTCGAGCACCGCTTTCTTGGACTGAGGTAATTGATGAATGCAGTTGTAATATATCCGAAACTATATTCCACAACAGCAGTGTGTAAGTAGTGAAGCACAAAAGCTGAGAATGAACAACGTTTCTTCGCTTACATGCATTCGATTCGAATACACCAGCTCTATAGAGTGCATATTTATCTTCCGGATTACGCTTATCATTTTGACGTCTGGTTCACGTCTGTGTTCGCAACGGATTTTGCTGCTAAAGCCCGAGAGTTACAAGCACTTTGTGGATTTTTTAAGTTCTTTGGTAAGGTCTTTCTTGAGGCGATCAAGTCGAATAAAAACCGTTCTTCTCTAATAACATTTGCCGTAACTGCCTCGCAATGCTTGGCGCATTGCTGTTCGACGAGCATTCAATTGGAATTGGTAGATAAACCAAAGCCCATCGCCGCTCTTCGGAAACTTGTCAATCATTGCACCAGCGTAACCCATCACAGCGACCAGCGTAGCCACATCGCCCGCACGTTCGCCCTCACTTGATCTTTCTAGCCACACGGCTCGTCCGTCCCGTGTGCGTAAGCCACAAAAGTCAATGTAACCATTAAGTTATCACGGCTAAGAATGCAATCCGCTTAACAGTTTCCGTAGGTATATAGTGAGATCAATAATGGGTTTACCGATGGTGTACAAAGCAGTGCACACAGTTTTGTTACTTTGTCCCGTGTTCAAGATAATTGGGTTAAATCATGTAATGCAGAGGTTGTAATGCATCGTTAATTTGGGTTTTGAATTTCAATAATGTAAGAGCGGAACTGAGCGAATGCGGAGGTAAGCTCCACAGCTGAGATAGACGAACGAAGAAATGGTTCCCGTGACATTCCAAGCTGCTTTACACTGTGACTAGGTTTAAACAGTAACCGCTCTGTGAGATGTTGTGGCTGAGATTTAAAGGTTGGCATGGATGGAGAGAATCCTTTCGGATTTGGTACGCCAATATGAGGTCACTCTGCGGAAAAGCGATATTGTTCGCCGAAAAGTCTTTAGTTTCAACTTGTAAAGTACTATATTTTATCCCTCTGCTTAGTGACTTCTCAAGAGCAGTGAAGTCACGTTTATTTCCAAGGGTTCCATACCTGGATGGCGCATTCTACATGTGGCCTAAAGTAGACGTTTGGAATTTGCGAATAAAGGTGGGACCAAACCGGCCAAACGCCCTCCATAGAAGGCTTTGTCGCTGCGTTCTAAACTTGTCTGTAACGTCTGAGCTCGTCCTGCACGAAGATCACTTTCAAGAGCAGTACGATGCGTGACATGTTCGCCCTGTCGATATTGGTAGGTGCTCTGGTGGCGCATGCTCATTATTTAACATTTGACAACGTTAAACTTAAGCATGTTCTGGGCCGACTACTCATAAACCTTGCTTAGATCACTTTGCAGTGCTATATGGTCGTTTATTCTTTTGAGATCATCCGCAAAGAGCAGAAACTTCGACGTCAACACTCCTTAGAGGGCACTTATGAACACTGGGAATAACAATGATTGTAATACCGAGTCTTGTTTTCTAGCGGGCAACACCCAATCTCTATAAGCTTCAGATGGATCCTAGTGATCGAATTGGTCAACGTTCGCTTCAACGTGAATCACGGTACACATTAGGATTGTGCGTCGCAATCCATCCATAAAACGAGTACATCGAAATGACCCTTCAGTCGGTTCACAGTGTGCTTCACCTGAGCCACGATTTGTAAAGTCCCCATTGCTGTACTCTCTTCTAACTTTGGAAGAAGGCCAGGTGAAAACAAACCGAGACTCGGATAGACAAACAGTATTCAGGACCACGGAAGTCAGGTACCACCCGAAATTATATATATATATATATATATATATATATATATATATATATATATATATATATCGCAACACTCTGAGCGAACTGGAGGATCCAGGTATTGATATGGTGCCGAAGGATCCTAAACCACAGTCCGACAACTCGAGGTCATCAAGCGTATTCCGATAGTAGATGTCAGCGGTTTGCATAATGGCGTAATCGGACCAAGGTTTGCTTTCTGAACAGTCTTGCATGAAACCCATCATGGCATGTGCTCCTTCATTCGGGTACTCAGGGCACTGTAGGTTCTGCGCAGGTAATTGACTGCGCACTTGTAATTGGATTGGTTTACACAATAGAAGTTGACCCCTATATGCTAAGTTTCCGTCAATAGAGGCAGCAACAGCTTACGAGTTCTGCCGATGCATGAAACTCTGATAGTATAGAAAGTGCTCTGCATGGCATAGATCGGACTGCATGCAGACTTCAAGGTAGCAATTGCAACCTTACATGGCAGCTTTAAGCATGCCTTCTTTTTAGGTACGGTTGGCACCGGACTTCCTATTTCGCTACTTTGGCTGTGCGTCTTGATGAATATCCGAAGACAGACATTTGCAATTGGCGTGTTGGTAATCACTTCTAGTTAGTCAGTGGAACATTATCCTCCGATACTACTAAATAGGGTCTTCACAAACGTCCGTTTATGCCGCACTGGAGTGAAACTGGTAAAATGCTGATGCTAGCGGGACCAGGCTGTTTTTCAGTATATAGACCATTTACTTGGCTTTGCTCCCTGTGGCTGATGAGAATACCCAATTAAGGAAAGTAGTTTCACCGTTCAAGTTCGCAAGAAAATCATAAAAAGAAACGCGAGGCACACAAACTCGCCACCAACTGTGGGATCTACAGCTCTCATGAACTGAACGCCAAGATATCAACCATAAAGCGTTTGTAGTAGGGCAAGTAACCTGTTCTTCAGATATGCCTCGTTCTGTCATCAACATGAAGAAATTCACTAATATGTGGCCCAGTTGGCTGCACATGGCTGCTCTATAGATTTGACGATGTGGTAAGTTCATGAAGTGGAACTTAACCTTCTATGGGCACAGAAGTAATGATTCCCTTAATAAGTCCACCGGCATCGACAACAAGTGTCCGTTTCATATTGCCAATTCGCAAATGTAGACAACGGTCTGGTGTTACGGGACGTTAGTAAACATGGATTCCACGTCCAAAAGACACATGATTTTTTTGGATAGATTTATTTTATTGAGGTCTTCGAAAAGCTCAATCTTTGTGACTACCTGGATTAAACTGTACTTTTAGCGGAAAAAATCGTATTCACTGGCCAGTGAGGAAATCTATGTTTAAATGCGTCTGTCATCGAGAAGAACGGTCTGAGTGGCATTCAACACTTGCGCGTTTTTTGAAAGCTCATATAGCTACGCTGAGGTTGATCCAATCCGTTTTAGACTATTATGGTTAGCACTGTGGATCACATGATACTGAAGGAGCATTTCCAATTGACGAAGTATGCCTGACTCGAGCACAGTCACATACTCCGTTTTATCAAGTTGTGTATATTTGTTAATCTCACTGGGTATTACGCCCATCTTGATGTATCCATCTTAGTTCACGATTACCACTCCTCAGCCCTTTTCTGTATCGCGCAGTTCGAGTAGCGCTCGCAGATGCCTGTTCCTAAGTGCACTTGTTTGTTATTGACACATTTTGCTTTATATACAACAGCGGTCAGCTTGTTTCTAAACCATACAAGCTTACTAGTA